TATGACAGAGAGAGACAGCGAGAACAGGAACACAAGCAGGAGGAGTGGGAGAGGGAGAAGCAGGCTTCCCGCTGAGCAGGGAGAGCCCGATGTGGGACTCGATCCCAGGACCCTGGGATCATGACCTGAGCCGAAGGCAGACGCTTAACGACTGAGCCACCAGGTGCCCTCTTTTCTTTTTTTTTAAGAGTGAGAGAGAGAGAGAGAGAAAGCACAAGCAGGAAGAGAGGCAGGGGCAGAGGCGGGGAGGGAGAAGCAGCCTCCCCGCCGAGCAAGAAGCCTGATGTGGGATTCAATCTCAGGGTTCTGACCTGAGCCGAAGGCGCCCCTTCTGGAGTTTTTCTTAACATTAAGATTAGCAGGATCCATTCCCAAAAGATCTGATGCAAAGGGCCAGGGGTGGAGTCTGGGTATGTGAATTTTACCAAATATTCAGGAAGAAAGACTGTGTTAAACAGGAGAGAGAAAGAGCTAGCAATAAAGAGGAAGGTACCATCAGGAAAAAGGGAGAATCACAAATGTGGAGTGCCAGAGGGATAGGATGATTACAGATTAGGAAGTCATTATGAAATTTGGTTAGGAAGGTCCCAGGTAAACTGGACAGAAGGCCCACTGCCAAGGCTCAGGAGCCTGCAGCAGGGCCTGGGGAGGCTTCAAGCAGAGACCATCCTCATGGGAGTCTGCTGGTTGCCCAAAGCTGTGGATGCCAAGGGTCACAGGCACGCTCAGGTCCTGTTCTTGGCAAGGCACCCTGCCCTTCCAGAAGAAAATGTGGCAACATGTTTATCGAGGCCCTCAAAAATGTTATCATTGGACCCAGTGATCCATATCTGGGAAATACTTAAAAAGAAGTAAAACGTCTTATGAACAAAAATACATTCTAGGAGCGGAGGGGTTCAAGGCTCTAGGACATCTTGAATTTAACAATGCTGAGGAAAGGCATCCAACTTAAACACGCATCTGAAATTTGAAATTTCATCTTCAAATCCCAAATATCCCATGAATTTTGTCCTTCCTCGCCTTCCAATTCTCTACCAAAATTCCACTAACCCTCATTGATTAAAAGGCAGCCAGCACATACTTGATGTTCTACAGTCATCTACTTTACTCGTCTGAGTCCCCCCACAATAACCTCAGCTCCCTGAAAGCAAGAAGCCGTGTCTCATTCATCTGTGAATGCTCTTGGGGTTAAATGTTTGCTGGATGAACAGCCCTTCTCCCATGAAATCTTCCATTCCAGCGCACACAGGGCCCCAGCGTCTTGGCCGTGGGAGCAGGCCCACCCTCTATCCCCGCTCTCCCGGCCCCCCCTTACCTGCATAGAAGTGATAGAAGGGCCACCAGACAGCACTATTTGGGATGTAGGTAAGCAGTGAAGCCACGTAGCCTCGGTAAAAGCCTCGGAGCCCATCAGCCCGCAGGATCTGCCTGATGATGTCCTTGGTTTGGCCAAAGGCTACAATCCCTCGTCCCTCGGGGCTCCCTCGCACTTGGAAGCGGCCCATCCTGTCGCCCTTGCGCTGCATCATCAGGTGCTGGGACACCACGTCAATGGGCACTGTGATGCTCTGGGCCACGAGGGAGGCCGAGCCCCCGGCCACCAGAGACTTGACCGTGTTGCTCTGGCTGTAGTCAGCGACAAACTTACGGGTGAGTTCGTACGTAGTGACGTAGCACTGGCCAGAGATGAGGGTGAAGGTGTTGACCAGGAACCCCCGGTAGAGGCCAGTCACACCATCTGCTCGCAGGATCTTGAGGAAGGCATCAAAAGTCCCGTGGTAGAGGCTCTTGCCCCTCTGGACCTGCAACCGGGTGCGGATGAGGGTAAACGGGTAGACGCTGACACGGATCATCATCGTCATTGCTACACCAAACACGTAAAACTTCTTCTTGTCCAGGTGTTCCCACTCGATGATCTGGATGTTGCGTTTATCCTCCATGGCGCCTGGAGACCTAGGGACGTGAGCGGGCGGGAGGACGTGGGGAAGGAGGCTAGCGCTTCGCGCTCTGTCCTGCTGGCTAGGCTCCGAGCCCCGTCCTCAGGCTTCATCTCCTGGGGTACCCACCTCCCCAAAGTTTAGATTCCAGTCCGGCTTGGCCGACTCTTGCCTGAGTCTTCCTTCGGGGATCAGGATGCTGCCCCCCCTGCCGCCTCTTTTACCGTCCCTCCCCCAACTCCAGAAGCTGCTCCACACTTCAGCTACTCCAGCAGCCCCACCCCCACCTCGGCTCCCTGCCCAGGCTGATCAAATCACCCACTGCAGTCCCTGCCTCTGCCTGGGCCCTGGTGCCCCAGCCCAAGCTCCTCCTCTGCTCACCCAGGCAGAGCTCAGGATGCTGTGTTGCTCTGGCTTTGGTCCCGCTTGAGGGCCTTGCATCCTGCCAGGCGGTCCTCCAAGTGGGACTAAGGGATGTCACTAAGTGACGCTTAGCAGGTTCCTAATGGGGAAGGGAAGTAAGTGCTCCATTTGGGATGCTCCTGGGCCCACTGAGGAGGCATGGCCTTGACCTCCGACCCTCAGCAGGGTGCCTCTTTCGGCACCATTTACAAGCTGCCTCACCTTACTTTGCTTCTGGCTTCCCCGTGCTGGCCTCTCTGAGCTCCCCTGACTCACACTCTCTACACTTTTCTTTCCTCCAGTCTGTATTAGAAGAAAATGTGGCACCCCCTCCCCCCCTCCCTCCAGTGAAAGGAGTTACAAAGTTAGGGACAAGCCAAAGGTCAGAGTCCTCTTGGGTTATTAGATAACTCACTCTAGAGAAAAGAAAGAACCAGCAGAGAGCTAAGTGGTTTCCCTGAAGTCTTGAGAACCACAGGGCAGAGGACATGCCTGGCCCTTCTCACCCCTAAGCACAGAAATCATAACCTTTGTCCTGTATAATGAGGGGAGATTCAAGTGACAGGGAAGATACAGACTCTGCCTTCAAGAAACGCACAGTCTGTTCCCGAAGACAACAGCATCCATCTGGGGAATGGATCTAAGATACAGAGAGAAAGAATCCAGGTCAAAGTACTGTAACGTGGCTCTGAGGTCAAGTGTATCCACTGCCTAAGTTCTCCAACAAAACTAGTACTAATGTAATAATTGTATGAAATCAGGAGCTTCCAACTTAAGAACTGTCAAACAGCATGTCATGATATGTTGGACATATTCTTGGTGACAACGTAATGTGTTCCTGGGTAGGACACTGGACAGTTTCAGCCAGAGGGGAAACGGGGAAGCGAAAGTGGCAGTGAGAAGTCAGGGGCTCCCCAGGCTTTGGGAGAAATCCCGACAGGCTGGGAAAGGAGGTGGCCACATAAAAGGGACAACTCTAGAAGTTGAAATGTTCCCGAAGCCAGTGCCCTGGCCAGCCTCATGTCAGGTGTCTAAACAGAGTCCATCCTCAACCACCTTCCCCAACTAAAGGTCCCAAGCAGCCTGAGGAGCTTCTCACTTTACCACGGAAGTCAGCAGAGAAGCCCAGTGAGCTTTCCGGCCCCCGCCCGCCAGCTGGACTGTGTCACCATCACAGAAGGCCAGGCTGCCTGCAGTGCAAGCCGAGCACCTGTGTGCTGAGGGAAAACCTCAGCTTCCAGGTGAGGCAAATGGGAGGAACCCCTGGAGGGCAGAGCCCTTTGAACAGGGCAGGAATGCATGTCGACCACGAAAGCAGCAAACGATGGCTTAGAACAACCAGCTTGGCCCAAACGTGGGATGTGGGCAATGAGCGAGAGGAACGCTGCCGTGTCACTTGCTGTGGGCAAAAGTGGCCCTTCCTCCCCAGCCTCAGCCGGGGACACCCACCAAGCCCAGCAGTCCTCTCCTCTGAGGCTTCAAGAGAAGGTGTCATTGTCTGCCCTGCCTGGAGTGTTTGTTATCCAGGGTCCCAAAGTCATGTTTCCAACACCACTGAGCCATGAGCAGAGAGAGACTCTAGGATTTTCTGAATACCTATCACCTCATGTAATCCTTACAACTTAACCTGTGCACAGTTAGACACTTCTGCTAAATGAGGACACCGCATCAGATAAGTTAAAAGGAACAGGTCCAAGGTCACGCCGCTGGTCAGTGGTGGAGGCACGATATGAGCCAAGATTTCTCCTCTACTGACCATGCCTTCTACCCCATGGGAGGAGAGGAGTTCCAATACAAGTCACACTGTTCAGTCTAAAGCCAAGTCACTCCCACCCGTGGGCGGCAGCATTAATGCCCTCATGGCTGCTGGTCACCCAAGGGTTAAGCATAAGCTCCTGGCCCCACAGATGACCAGAGATTTCTCTCAGCTTTGTTCCAGAGAAACCAAGAGCTGCCCCTGCTTTCCCAGTGTGCTGGTGGAGTGACTGACCGAGCTGAGTGGCCGGCCAGCACGTTGTTGTCACAGGACAAATACAGTTGGGCCCAAGCAAGAGAGCCTCCTGCCGGGTTTGTGCAAACTGTGTGCTAAGCAGGACAGAAAGGCAGAGCAGCGGATTCCGTCCCAGGACCTTCTGAACTTGTCAAGCTGGGTCACAAAGTACCAATATCTCTGGGGCGCCTGGGTGGCTCAGTCCTTAAGCGTCTGCCTTCGGCTCAGGTCATGATCCCAGGGTCCTGGGATCGAGCCCCGCATCGGGCTCCCTGCTCAGCGGGGAGCCTGCTTGTCTCTCTGCCTGCTCTGCCTGCCGCTCCCCCTGCTTGTGCTCTCTCTTCTTTCTCTCTCTGACAAACAAAATAAAATCTTAAAAAAAAAAAAAACAGTACCAATATCTCCTGACGAGAAGTCTTAAGGCAGGACCCAGTGCCCCGTTTCTCTGCTTTCCTCCATCGCTTACGTGTGCCTGTTGATTTTAAATTCCCAGAAGGAAGGGGGGACTCTCCAAGGCCAAAGCAGGTATCTCCTACCATTGCCACGGTGACAGGAGAAGCCACTAAGGGTCACGCCTCAGAGGGAGAAGCCGGTACAGCGGAAGGCGAGAGGGCCTGGCACTCACTCCCTCGCCTCAAAAGTGGGGTCTCAACCTGCTCTGTTACATAACCTCCAGACTTCCTGCTGAAACATCAAAACTAGTGCCTCCTGTTTTACCCGCTGGAAAATCCTCTTGGCGGACACCTGTATGCACACCTCCTCCAGCCGTCCTTTCTCCCAACTCAATCAGCCCCCATGCTTTACGGCTCTTTCCCAGACCCTTATTTTTTTTTTTTTAAAGATTTTATTTATTTATTCATGAGAGAGAGAGAGAGAGAGAGGCAGAGGCAGAGGGAGAAGCAGGCTCCCCGCGGAGCAGGGAGCCCGATGCGGGACTCGATCCCAGGACCCTGGAATCATGACCTGAGCTGAAGGCAGACGCTTAACCGACTGAGCCACCCAGGCGTCCCTCCCAGACCCTTATTTGTGTGCACAGCTCCGATTCTGAATTTCCTCCCATCTTTTAACAACTGCTCAGGCACAGAGGTTGAGGTGCTTCCTCTGGGGACCCAACAGATGACCCAGGATGCCCTGAAGTCATCAAATGAGATGTCAGAGGCAGAGCCTCCCCTACCAAGCCGCGCAGGGGAAAGGGACAGATTGGTGGTCTCTGCACATCTCCCTTCCACTTGCACTCTTCCTGAACCAGAAACATCACACCAGACTATTCACTAGGTTCTGAGATAAGATTCTGGTTCGGGATAAGGCAGTGCCATCTGGAAGGCCAGGTCATGCAGTGGAACGAACACCCGTCCTCAGGAGATCCAAGTTTGAGTTCCACTTCTGTTACTTACTGGTATGATTGGAACCATGTCACTTCATTGAAACTCAGTTTCCTCACCTGGGAAGCGGGGCCAGTCGGCCTGCCATGGCTATATAATAGTGTGGAGCCACTCACGGGAGGCCATACGTGTAAAAGCGTTTTGTAACAGCAAAGCATCTCTATCATGGCACAAAGTTCTACTAGACAATGCTGCTCTAAATCCTGGCTACTCAGAGCGGCACACACGCCGGACATCAGCTGTATTTCTTGTTAGAAATAGAGTTTCAGGTTGCAGGCTCGCCCTGCCGAATAAGAGCCAACATGTTAACAAGCTCTCTGGGTGATTAAATGTGCCAGGTTTGGAAAACACTGCTTTAAATGTTAAGGATTGTCAGTATTATTATAACAATGATACAGCTACTCGAAGAGTCCAGGACCATTATGACTCCATCCTGACTTGTCACCAGAACTGGGCCCAGTGATGGTTACTAGACGCAGGCAGAGCTTTCCGGGCTGGCCAGTCCCACCAAAGTAAACCCCCTTCTGCAGCTCCGGACCCAACCCACAGGCTTGGGTCCCCGATTTCAGCTGGAAACAAGATCTTTGCTTCCCCCTTCTGTTCCTCCGTTCTCCATCGCATCTGCATCGAGACGCAGCATCCTGGGAGCCACCTCCCCCAGCGCGAGCGCGGATACATTTACACGCTTGCCCTCCTCTAGTCAGGGGAGGTCCCCGCGATGCCTCCGACCCCTCGTTCGAGGCCATCTCCTCCCTCCGTCACGGTGAGGTCCCACCCGGCTCTCCTGTGGTCGTCCACAGGCACCCACGTGATCCCTCATCACTGACACCACATGACACCCGTCCATGCAGCGCCTGGCCTGGCCCCCCGCACAGCCGCCCTGGGCCGGGGCTCGGACCCGGCCGTGCCACGCCTCTCGCCCCGCTCCCTCAGCTGTGCGCTCCTCCGACAGGAACAGACGCCTGGCTGCAGTCGCCCCTGAGCCCCGGAGCTGCGAGGCCGGCTCCCGCGGAGCCGCAGGCACCCGCTGCCGCCGTGACAGGTCCAGGTCCTCGGAGACCGGAGCCGTCAGGCACCCCGCGCCGGCCGTTTCTTACCTCCTCCGATCAGGGAGGTTCCGCCGCGACTGAGGCGAACTCCGAGCCCGGACCTCTAGGCCACAGCGCCCACTCTAGCCTCCATGCCCGGCGACCTCCGGCCCCCGCTCGCATCTTCCTCCATCTCGACCGGGCTCCCGGTACTGCCGGAACCGGAAATTGAAACACTGTCATTCCCGCCCCCCGCGGGGTGGGGCGGGGCTACGCCGTGGGCAAGTCCACCAATGGCTTGCTGAGCTTTAACCCCCTCCCCCGCCCCCGAGGAAGGGGGGGAATGGGCGGGGCCCGTGGCCATCTTGAATTCGGGCAGAAGCCACGCCTTCGTGGGCCTCGTCATGCCCTCAGTTCTACGGCGCGTGCGTGTCCTTTCTCGGTTCTCAGGAGCCAAGTCACCTGGGCCTTCTTTTTTTTTAAAGATTTTATTTATTTATTTGAGAGAGAGAGAATGAGAGAGAGCACACGAGAGGGGGGAGGGTCAGAGGGAGAAGCAGACTCCCTGCCGAGCAGGGAGCCTGATGCGGGACTCGATCCAGGGACTCCAGGATCATGACCTGAGCTGAAGGCAGTCGCTTAACCAACTGAGCCACCCAGGCGCCCCACCTGGGCCTTCTTGAGGATCCCGTTGTAAATGGGTTACCTTGTGTTTCGGGTCTATTGGAAATCTAACTTCCAATCTAATCTGTAATTTTTGCGTAACTTTTCTCGTCTATGGTGCCAAACAGGCCAATGTGCAGCAGGAAGGACTGAGGTTAGACAACCGATTTTGAGGTTTGAGAACTCAAAAAATTGCAGGAATAGGGGCCATCCTGGAGGTGGAGTGAGTGACATTAGGGTCTCGTCCGGCTCTGAAACTACCTATATTTGGATTTAAAAGGAGAGGAAGAGCTCTTTAAATGAGCGACTGGAAAGCCTGGGGTGGAGAGTCGGTTCATTTCAAATGAGGTATTTCCACAACTCAACAACAAAAGACAAACAACCCATTTAAAAATGGACAAAGGACTTGAATAGACATTCTTTTCCTTGCGTCAGTTCATTGGTAAGTCCCCTCTTCCGTTTGCACAGACCAAGTATCTGGGGGCATCCTTGCACGCTTTCCGTTTCTCGCCCATCACATGCAGCCGGTCATCAGACACCATGGGCTTCATCTCAAAAATGTGGCCGGAGCTTGGCCACTTCCCACCACCTCCACACTGCCTGCCTGGCCCCAGCCACCACTCTCACCTGGGTGACTCCAGAAGCTACCTCACCGGTTTCTTTGCTTCCACTCTTGCTTCTGCTATGTTCTAATCAGAAGACAGCAGCCAGGGTGACGCTTTTAAATTCTAGGTCAGATCATGTCCCCTCATCTGTTAGAAATGCTCCAGCAGTTCCCCATTTATTCGGAGTAAAAGCCAATATCTACAATGGCAAAGGCCTACAGGGTCCTACAATCTCCCCCCGACCCTGCACACCCAGTATCTTTCTCCCTTCATCTACTACTCTCACTCCTGCCTCAGGGCCTTTGCACTGGCTTCTTATGTCTGGAAGTTTTCCTGCAGGCATCCACATAGCCTGTACTTTCTTTCATTTACTCCATTGTTTCGTTGTTCAAACTTCACCTTATCAATGAGACCTACTCTGAATCTCCTACTTAAAACTGCAGACACTCCTTCCACTCAACCTTCTTTCTGCAACTCAATTTTTTCCTTTCCAGCACATCACCATCTAATGCACCCTACTTGTTTGACTTACTTCTGTCATCTGTCTCCCACACTAGGATGTATGCTCTATGACCACAAGAACTGTGTCTGCTTTGTTCATTAGTGTGCCATCGGTGCCTGACAGTGCCTGTCACATAGGAGGTGCTCAGTAAATATTTGAATGAATGAAAGGATTTCAGCATTGAGAGTATTATCCAGGCACACAGAAGCCCAATGAAGCAGCAGCAGTGTATAAAAGGGATTATAGTGAGGTGTACATAGGGCACTGACTGTGTGATAGGTTTGAGAAGAATCCAGAGGGGATGATGTCCCAGGTGGAAGAAACAGCATGCCTCAAGGAACCTCACTGTTAGTTCCGTTAGGCAGGTTGTCTGTTCATCTCTGTGTCACCAAGGCCTGAAATGATGCTGGGCACTCAGTAAAGGTTTCCAGAAAACAGTACAAGGTGCTCAGCCTTGGTGAGCATGTGGTGCAAGGTGTGTATGGAGCGACTAGAGGAAAGGCACACTGTCCCAGGAGGTTATTCCGGAGTTCTTTACTCTGGAGTGAATGAAAAGCCATTTCAAGTTTTTTTTTTCTTAAAATTTGTTTATTTATTTGAGAGAGGGAAAGGGAGAGCACGTGTGTGCACGAGCAGGGGGAGGGGCAGAGGGAGAGGAAGAGAAAGAACCTCAAGCAGACCCCCTGCAGAGCACGGACCCAGGGCTCCATCTCACGACCCTGAGATCATGACCTGAGCTGAAATCAAGAGTGGGACGCTCAACCAACTGAGCCACCCAGGCTCCCCTAGCCACTTCAAATTTTAGGCAGAAATTTTTTTTTAGTAAGTTCCTCTTGACCCAGGCCAGAGAATGGAGTCTGGATGCGAGTGGCAGAAAGGTGGATGAGACAGGTTAGGGGTCGGCTCTGGTTGCCTTGGTGAGGTGGTCAGGACCTGGTGGGACTGCAGAGGTTCTGAGGAATTCCCGGACAAGCGAGGAGGAGGAGGAGATGGGGTGGGGACCCAGCCAATGGAGTGGAGGGGTGGGAGAGAGGAAGTGCTGGGTGAGCCCCAAGCCTCCACGTTGCAGTGTGATTAGCTAGCATAGGGGAACATGGGAGAGAGAGCAGGTTTGGAGGGGATGATAAATTGAATTTGGGACATGTTGCATTAGAGATGTCTGTGGTGTGTCCAAGTGGAGGTAAGCAGTAGCTAGAAGGGCAGGCAATGCACTGTCCCCCACAAGACCTCTTCAGCAGTGTTCACCGTAGCCAGGAAGTGCGACAACTTGAGTGTCCCCCAGCATGTGAACAGGTGAAGAAGCTGCGGAACGTACCTACAACGGCAGAGTGTTCAGCCCCCAACAAGGAAGGAAGTCCGCCAACATGGATGAACCTTGAGGATGTTACGGGAGTGAAAAAAGCCAGTTGCCGAAGGCCAAATACTGTGTGATTCCGCTTACATGAAGTACACATTGTTTGCTTTGTGCCATGTTAAAAATAAAAACATTTTTTAAAAAGAAGAAGCCCCAGAGGGCGCCTGGGTGGCTCAGATGGTTGGGCGTCTGCCTTCGGCTCAGGTCATGATCTCGGGGTCCTGGGATCGAGTCCCGCATCGGGCTCCCTGCTCCTTGGGAGCCTGCTTCTCCCTCTGCCTCTCTCTCTCTCTCTCTGTCTCTCATGAATAAATAAATAAAATCTTAAAAAAAAATTAAAAAAAAAAAAGAAGAAGCCCCAGAGAAAGAGAGTTATGGGAATACAGTGGCCAAGTGTGAAGGTGGCACAGAGATCAAGGCCCGGTGGGGCTTATGGGTAGCTTCAGAGAGTCGTTTTTGCAGAGAGGTAGGGGAGAAAGCCAGAGCACAGGGCATCCAAGGGGGCGAGGGCCTCTCTGTGGGAGCCATGGGCAGGCAGCCAGAAAGGACCCCCTCTGGGTGTTGGTAAGAACGGGGAAAGAGAGCCAGTGGGGGGGGGGCGGGGTGCAGCGTTATCCTTTCTTTGGACCCTGCAGAGAACACCCAGCGCAGGGGCTGGTGGGAGAGGGGGATGGTAGGGTGAGGGCAATGCTGGGGTCTCTGCGGAGAGGAGCCTCTGGGAAGCCTCCACACAGGGGTGTGCACAGAGCGCAGCTCGTCAGATCGTCAGATCGGGGGGAAGGGGGTGGCCAGGCTGGGGGTGGCTGTACGGTCTGGTTGCTCCGTAAATTCAGTCCACCAAGAGGGGAGCGGGGACCGTGGGGCCAGCAGCTGCGGGGAGCGGCGATGGATGAGGAAAGCACTGCGGAGTTGGTTCTGGGCGGGCAGGTGGCAGGGCAGGTGGTTTGCCCTTGGAGGCAGCTGGGCCCCACAAACCTGGAACTCCTCCCCGCTGAGGCCCTCCGCCCCGCGGTCCTCTGCTGCAGCATTCGGCTCCCACAGAAACCGCACCAGTCGTGAGCTTTGTCTTTTTAATAAAAAATAAACTGTCTGTGACAAGCGGTCTTCTGAATCCCAAAATAAAGGAAAGGGGAGAGGAGGGGGCTGAAGAGGTCAGCCAGAGGAGAGGCGGGAACAAGGCTCAGATTACCCCTGTTCCTCAAGCACAGCAGGGGGTCACAGTCTGCCCCAACTGAAACAAGAAGGAAGGTGGTCACTTGCCGGGAGTCAGCGGTGCTCAGCGGACAAGGGGGCAGGACGGGGCAGCTCCCTGCAGGGCCCTGGGACAGTGGAGCCTTGGTGTCCGTGGGGGTGGCTGCTGCCCCCGGCGGGGGGGGGTCTCCAGGGACGGCGGGCAGTGGCGTGCCCACTCGCGTATACCTTGGGCTTCGTTACCACAGGGGCCTGGAGCAGTCTCGTGTTTTAGGGGCTCCTGGAGCAGTATGTTTCTGGAGGGATCCACTCTAGGTCTTCTTGTTTGGTCCAGGCCTGGGACGGCCCGTTGGAGGGCCCATGTGCGCAGTGGAGGGGAGGCCCACGGGGGGTCAGGCTGCTGGGTCCAGCCCCGCTGAGGGCCACCAGTGACAAGGTGGGAAGGTGGTGTTCTGTGTCGTCCCCCCCCCCGCCCTCAGGGCTGCGCTGCTCCAGGTCCCCCAGCAGCGCGGCGGGCGCCTGTCCTATTCTACGCGGCGGCAGCCTGCGCCCAGAGTCTACGCCACCTCGGTGCCCAGGTGGTTATTGTCAGCGTCCACATCGCTGGCAGACGGCCTGCGTTCCTTGGGAAGCTGGAGGTGCTGCTCCCGGCTCAGGGGGGCCTTCTCCCCCGGGGGCAGGGTCCCACAGCCCTGCACCTTGCCCCGGGCTCGGAGAGCCCCCACTGGGGAGGCGAGGAGGATGAGGAGGGCTCCTGAAAGCACTAAGGCCAGGAGCACAGTGACTGTGAGGAAGTGGGGCCAGTAGGACCGCTGGGCAGCCAGGGCGGCCCCGCCACCAACCCTGGTCAGTGGGGCCTCCACACGCTCCCGGGGAATGCCCCCCAGCTCGGGGTCCAGGGCCAGGGGCTGATCCTGGCTGTGCACCCAGTAGGACACCACAGGGTACGAGAAGCCATTCTCCATGGCCCAGCACTGGTACAGACCCCCCACCCCACCCTGCAGCAGCAGCACCAGGGAGCCGTTGAAGACCGCCGAAGAGGCTTCTGGGAGCTTGGCCGTGCCCCGACTCCAGTGGTAGGAGGCCAGGGCCGAGAGGTGGGGGCAGGGGAGCTCCAGGATGGAGTTGGGGACAGCCAGGACTTCTTTAACTGTAGATGAAGGAAGGAGACGGCTAAGGGAGGGGAGCAGGAGGGCAGGGAAGCTCTGCCGACATTTGGACCCTGACTCCCCGCTTCCACCTCCCAGTTCAGCTCCCAAACTCAGCTCTGCTCCCTCGTCTATCTCCAGTCTGGATCCCAGACCCTCAGTCCATCTGACTCCGACTCTTGACACCAAAACAGACTTCAGCTTCAATCCTGGGTCCCAGCTCGGAATTCCTATCCTCCCTCCCGATGCCAGGACTCAAATCCGCCCCAGGTCTGGGTGTTCAGCTCTCAAGCCGGGCAGGTTCTGGGGGAACACCAACCTGAGCCTTCCCCCCCACCCCCTGGTTCCACACTCACTGATTTGGGGGCGGCTTTGAGGATGGAGGCTCCTGCCTACGGGGCCAGTGGCGCATGCCCACCCTGGATTCCCTTGTTCCGTGTCCTGTCTCCAGGACTTCCTGAGAAGGCAGGGAAAGCAAACCTCAGGCCTTGAAACAGACCAAAGCAGGAAGAGGAGGGAGGAAGGGGGGCAGGGTGGGACAGAGAAGAGGGCAGGTAAACCCAGGCCGGCTGGAGCAGCTTCAAGACTGCAACCCCGTCCCAGGAGGAGCCTCTGCCATAGGAGGGAGGTCCTGGGAGGGGCTGTGCCAGTCGCCCCTGGAGAGAGGAAGAACCCCACATGCTGGGTAAGAAGGTCCCGCTGGGCCAGCCTCCACCGCTGTCCAGGACCGGCACTTACGGGATGGGGGTGGGCAGGAGACGGCAGGTTCCAGACTCGGGGTCCCAGGCACAGTGGGGGTCCCGGGCTAGGACACAGTCCACACAGCTCCCATAGACGCTGCAGTTGGCTCGGGGAACCCTCCAGATGCCCCCTGAGAAGCCCGCAAACACTGCGCCCTGGAAAAGAGAGGGAGAGTGACCTCTGCACACCCAGTAAGGACCCAGCACCCAAGCCCCCCGCCTGGGCAGAAGGCCCCTTGCCACCTGTTCAGGGGCCAGCAGCAGGTTGCGGACAGGTTCGGGATCAGGGAACAGCTGGATCTCCTCCACCAGATGAGCACTGCCGTCCCCACTGACCACAGCCTTGTGGAGGGCGCCTGTGGCTGTGGAGAGACAGGGAGCACGGACTCAGGCTGGTCAGGCTGCTCCCCTCTATGCTGTGGGGCTGACGGGAACGCTGTTATAAACGGCTCGGAACCCCTGGCCTCTCTGTCTTTCCTTTGCAAGAACCCAACCCACTCCTCCACGGACTTGGGGCAGCGGACAGCTGAGCGCTTCTGCAGAAACCCCATCGGCAGCCACCCTCACCTCCACCAGGTGTCCCTCCAAGGACTTCAGGGAGGTCTGCGCTGACCGCCCTGTTAAAAATTGCCACCTCCCCGGCTGGCATTCGGATCCACCCTTCCTCAAAATCAGTTTCTAGTCTCATAACACACTAAGTCCTTGGCTCATGTGGTACGTTCGTTGTTTGTCTGCATGCATTCCACAAGCACCGAGCTTTTGTCTGTTGCTCTCTGCTGGGACCCAGTATGTGCGCAGCGGATACAGTGGCTGGGAACGTGTCCTGGAAGGATGGGCGCACCTGTAGCTTTCTCCCATGGAAGCTCAAGGTCATCCACCCCCATCAGGCCCTCCATACACACGCCCGGCAATCTTGCACATTCCCCTGCTGACTCTCGCTCCTTCTTTACACACTGACTTTTGAATCCACCCCTTTCTCCTCACACCTCCCCCTTTTCTACCCCTCGTTCCCAGCCCAAGACCCCGTGTCCTCCTCCTGGACCATCACAAAAGACTGCCCGTAAAAGCTGCCTCTGCTTCCTGCCGGACACCCACCCAGCCTTACCTTCTTCTATTCCTTCGCCCCATCCCAGCAGGGGGCTGGCCCCCACCCACGTCCTGGACTCCAGCTTCTGCTCCCTCTGCAATTCACCTGCCAGTTACCCCCTGGCTTGCCCATTTCTTCACCGTCTGCCTCCCTCCTAGAGCCTGAGGACCTTTCCATCTTTAAAAACAAAAGCATGGGGGCGCCTGGGTGGCTCAGTCGTTAAGTGTCTGCCTTCAGCTCAGGCCATGATCCCAGCGTCCGGGGATGGAGCCCCACATCGGGCTCCCGGCTC